CAAAAATGGGTTAAAAACCACATGGGGTTATGGGGGTGTTCTGCCTGGAGAAGAGGAGGCTCAGGGGAGACCTTATCACTCTCTACAACTCCCTGAAAGGACAAGTGTCAGGATGAGAGGAAATGGCCTCAAGTTACACCAAGGGAGGTTTAGATTGGATTTAGGGAAAAATTCTTCACAGAAGGCGTTGCCAAGCACTGGAACAAGCTGCCCAGGGAAGTGGTGGAGTCACCACGCCTGGAGGTGTTTAACAGATGAGTAGATGTGGCACTGAGGGTCATGGTTTAGTGGTGGATTTGGCAGTGAGTTTACAGGTGGGCTCAGTGATCTGAAAGGTCTTTTTCAACGTACATGATTCTAAATTACTCTAAACACAAAAACATATTAAGGACATTTCATGGACTTAAATGTTTTCCTCTCTGTGTATGCATCCCGTTTATGAAGGTTTCACCTTTTCTTTGCCCATATCACAACCCGGATTTTGTTGTCTTTACACTGGGACAATGCAGACCCTGAACTGCTTCTACTTCTGCCATGGGTAAATTGCCAAAGCAGAGGGATGGCACAAATACCTTGTTGTGGGACTTGCTGTTTTAGTAAAACTACACATAGACATACTGAGAAAGAAAAAATTCTTATTGTTTGTTTGTTTTTTCTTAAAGTAACCTGGAATCGAGACAATGCTTTTCAAAATTTTGCCGTGAAGTCTCACCTGACCTTCCTGGTGAGTTGTTCTGATGCCAAGGGAAGCTCACACTGTGTCAGGCTGCACTGGGAGCAGTTCAGAGACCGAGTGGGACAGCCAGGCAGTAGCACACAGATACTGCCAAGACAAAACTTGCAACCTCAAAGAGTAAAGTATTATCAGTAGAGCAATAATCACATGTGATTATTCAATCTGAAAGAGGCGATCCAACCACCTCAAAGTCTTACCACTTCTGCTACTTTTTTTTCAGAAGCCTGATAGCAGTTTGTTAACTACCAAATATTAATGAATACCAGGTACCCCCAAACCCGCTTTGAGAAAGAAAAAGAATTGAAAGTGTCTCTGAGATTGTATTATATGTCAATGTATTTCTCTTTTTATCTTCATACTTACATATAGGTTGACTTAAACTGATAAACTTAGTTCCTCTTGTAACTTGTTAGGATTCAAGATATATAGATTTGCTGTACTAATAACTTTAAAGTGTTCTAGCTAAAAGAGTATCCTGGGATATAAAGGAAGCCATTTGTGAGTGTAGTTCAGCTGCAAAAACTGCTTGATGAACTCAAAAGAAATCACCACACTTGAGTTTCGGGCCTTGGGGAACAGTCAGGCAAGAAAGTCCAAGGCTGGTGCACCACATACCTGCCTGCTGCCTTCACCTAAGCAGGGAAAAGGGAGTATTCAGGCAAGCCCTGGAGTGTCCGAGAAGTTTGTACAGACTGGAGTAAACAGAAGAGATGTCCAAGAAGAAATGAAAGAAGATTTTCACAGAAGCACCTTGAGCAGAGTGACAGAAGTCCCAGTTCTGCTTGTGTGTGATTTGTGTAAGTGGCTGAACTTAGTGCTTGATGTGACTTTTCACTTCTGCTACAGAAAGAATTTTTTGCAACGAGTGGATACAAATTTTGAGGTGTAGATCATTGCCCCCTCCTTCCTGAGATTATGGGAGGTCACTACCACATCCTCATCTTCTCTGAATCCGCTTGGTAGGGTGGGGTTAGATAAGAAAAATTTCCTACTGAAACCATGAGCAGGTTTATAATTATATTTACTCCTTGGGGCTCTCTAAAGTTGTATGATACCTTTGATTTTACCTTTGATTTATTTTTTTCTCCCAGGCAACTAACAATAGGATAAGAGGACACAGTCTTAAGCTGCACCAGGAGAGGTTTAGGTTGGACATTAGGAAAAAGTTCTTCCCAGAAAGAGTGATTGGGCATTGGAATGGGCTGCCCGGGGAGGTGGTGGAGTCACTGTCCCTGGAGGTTTTTAAGAAAAGACTGGATGTGGCACTTAGTGCCGCGGTCTAATTGACAAGGTGGTGTTGGGTCATAGGTTGGACTCAATGATCTCAGAGGTCTTTTCCAACCTAAATGGTTCTGTGATTCTGTGATTTGGATCTCACATCTTGCAAAAGTGCAAGAATGCCCACACCCTGAGCATCACTGATGCTTTAACAGCAGCTGCACACTAAGACATCCACATCCCACATAATAATTGAAGCATAAAAAATTATTGAACACTGTAGAAAATGCTGCATGACTAAACAACCCAGCAATTTTCTATTAGTTCTGCCCTCACTTTTAATTTCTTAATTGCTTCTTCTGAATACAAAATTATTTTACCAGGCTATTACTGCAATAAATATTTAAAAAAAAATCCACAACAAAATTAAAGATTGTATTTGCCAACTAGTATCATAAAATAAAACACTGGTAACAAAATATAACTGCTCCTATGCTGCTAAATACCCGAGGATTGTGTTGTTAGTAGGAATGTTGGTGCCAGGCAGGTATGGCTGACGGGAAAGAAAAGAGGTCAGAGCGTTTTCATCAAGAAAAGATTAGTAAGCTCCAAATATACAATTGGATGTATATGTATTGTTTATATGTGTGTACATGCCAGTGACAAAAGATGACTTTATTTTATGTATGGATGGCCAGATACGTAAATAAAACCAAAGGAGCGAACCCGCCCTTAGGTGCTGTTTGGATACTTGGATACTTGGGCTGCTTTTCAGCCTAATGGTAGCCCAGGGGAGAGAGTCCAAAGGGAAAAGGAAGTCACAGCCACCCTCTGCCCTGTGCACTCAGCAGGGACAATAGAGTGCTCTGGCCACTGACAGCAGCCTTGTTTGTCTTGGGGGGTTGAACACCAACAACTTTTCCATTACATGGATGAATATAGAAATAGAAAGTAAGCATCCTATTCCCAAAGATTATTCTTTTTTAAAAAAATGAAGAGATGAAATTTCTTACAGAAAACATCAAGAATGGAAGAAAGGCAGCTTTGCAGAGCTCCCTTGTTACACCGTTGTGGTTCAAAGCACCTTTCAGTTTGGATAAAGCTAACATCAGGTTTTGCCCCCCCCGTCCAGATTTTCCCACCTTCTCAAGAGCCCTGCCAGTAGAGAGAAGGCAGAAGCAGTCACATTCACACTACAGAGTCCTTTAGGGCTTTCATTTTGGATAGTACAAATCCTCTGATATAAATGTCGCTTTTCAGGAATATAAACAGTTGCAACAAAACAGGAACAATCTACATAAATTTTGAAAAGCGCAGACAAAACAAAAAACCAAGGTCAAATCACTGGATGCTCACAAGGATCCCTAAAGTGCTTCCAGATACTGTAATACCAAACAATTACAATGTTTTATACTTTCATGGAGACAGACAAGCACAATCTCAGAATGCCTCTCCCCCCTCAAAAAAGGTCATTTTGATTTTTAGGTAGCAAGTGGGGAAACAGAGGAGTTCAGTCTTTTTACCCTGGCAGACCTGGTGAAAAGCCTGTCATCTCCTCTTGCTGTGCCCCAGTCACTTCACATGACTAATTACATCAGTCATATCTCTTCTTCTGCCATTACAAAGTCTGAAATTATTTCCAGGATCACTCATCTGGTGATGTAGTGGCTCCCTACAAATGATTAGCACAGCCTCTTCGTATGGGGAGCCTCAGCTAACATATACAGCACACACTCAATCAATGAACACTTCTTTAAGTCAAATGACACAAGAGAGTTCAGTGTGGGACTGAGATCAAGAATAATGGGGATTGTACAATATAAAGCTCTTTTGTTTTCACATTTTGCTGCCTTTCCTCAAAAGTACAGTTTACCTGTATGAAACAGGGAAGCAAAAAGAGGAATAAAGAGAAAATGTCAGGTGTTAAACCTGCACTGTAAGAAGACTGCAGACCAGTAAGCACAGGGGAAGATGGAAAGAGGAACTGCAGCTATTTTAATCATGTTTTATCTCTACTGGAAAATAGATGAATTAGAGTAGTAGACTGTTACAGAACAGAGCAGAACACAGTATTAGACACCAAAATCTTGAAGCTGCTTATAACAATTTGTGAAATACAGAATTTCTTCAGTGTTCACTGCATGGACACCATTGCACTGCCAAGTACTTTGAGTAGTTGCAGTGGTGAACCTACACCAGTAGCAAACAGGCAAGAGAAGAGGCCTGCTTAGTAATTGAGATAACCCAGCCCTACCAAGTTTAGGAGCATGGCCACAGGCTGTGCTTCCAAATTTATGGCACTCAAGTAGAGGAAAAATCCAAGATGCACCCATTCTTCTGCAGAAGTGGAAAAGCTACGATCACCTTTGCTCATATGAAAGGCACCTTTCTCCAGCAAAGCTTCTAAATGTCACTGGGTTTATTCACTCTGGGTAGCAGTCAGTGCCTTTAAGTAAAGGCTTCACCAAGTCACAGGAGGCTGTGAATCAGGGGTGATGTAGAGTGGCAGAGTTTCACTTGACCTCCCATTAGCCCCAGTCAAGCCAGTTTATTTAACAAAGCAAACCACCAGGACCACAGGAGGAAATAAACCATATATTTGCACTGGAACTTTCTCATAAACAAATTTTCTTTTTTTATCTTCCCCACAAAATGTTTCAGATCAATCAGCAGCATTATAGCATTCCAGTTAATGGACAGAATCAATGTTTTAGAGAACAGGGAAGGCAATATCTAAGAGGGCTAGACTGTCTCATTACTCTCTGGAAGAGAACCCATTTTTTTGTTTTGATTTGGTTTGGGGTTTTTTGACCAAACACAATTGTGCTGCCCTGATGGAAACAAATATTCATTGATTCAGTAAGATTTCTGTCTACCTCAGGAGCATAAGACCAGTATTTTACTTTGATCACATCCTTTGTAGTGATGTAATCATTGTAGGGGTTTTGTTTATTGGTTGCTGTTTGGTTTTTTGGGGTTTCCCCTCCCTCACCCCTCCAAAGTGCTTAATTCATTTCTTATTAGAAGCCCTCAGAATAACTTTCAGCTCATAAGTGATTTTTGGGCTGTCTCTAGGTGTTACCAAGGGACATTGTGAAGAGACCATTTCCCTTTGCCTCAGCTGTTCCTTTTGCTGGAGCTGTACTTAGTTTCCTCTTCACATCACAGTGGAAGTTGCAATCTTCTGTTGGGGAAGTAGGTAACCTAACTAAAGCACCTCAGGGAAGGGCTCTGGAGACCATCAATCTCGGGGGACGATTTCAAAATTCAGTGAACAAGGACTTCACAAAATAACAGTCTTAGGTACTGCTGGGCAAGACATAAGCAAGAACAAGCATCTCAGGCTGCATCCAGTAGGATGTGTTCCTTGACCTCCAGTAACATGACCACAAGCTCAGGGTGCTCAGCACCCCACAGGACTGCAGTGTCACTGTTGCCACTGTTCTTCCCTTCCACCACTAATTTGCTTTGAAAGGACCTGGCTTTTTAGTCACATCTGAAAAGTAAAATTCAACTTAGTTGATCAAAACCTGAACTGGTTTTGCAACATTCACTTGAACTACTATAAATCAAATTTATCTTTGTGTGTCATCTAAGTGATATTGAGGACAAGGCTACTGAATAATGACAGAAAAAAAATTATGATTTTGTTATTAGCTCACCAACTACATCTACCTCATTAAAATAACACTGTTATGATGCAGTCATCTGCTGTATCCCATTATACTGCTACCTTCATGCAATTCCATCAGTATGCTCCAAAGAGCAGC